ATTAGCAAAGTGCTACCTCTCTATTAGCAAAGTGCTACCTCTCTATTAGCAAAGTGCTACCTCTCTATTAGCAAAGTGCTACCTCTCCATTCCTGCCACCTGTTGATAGTGAACAGTTTTCTCCACCGCTGAGATATTGTCACTGCAACTTTTGGCAGAAAATGTGGACAAGTTGGTCTTTTTGGCCAAAAACGTAAAACTTATAGATTGTAAACAGTCTGTTGCTGCTTAGTGTTCTGACTTATTAAGATTTTTATTATTGTTAGTATAATTTATTTAATGTAAATTGCGCCGCTCAAGGTGGCTGCATGTTGGAGCAGCTCTGTTACTTTCATTCTGAGATTTTGCTTTTGGAAACTTTAATTCCTCTTTTTCTGGATGTAAATCACATTTTTTGGATGATTGTTTCCTCTGGTATCGGATGCTGTGCAGCAGGAAGGATTTTTACTTAAACGACTTTAGTTTTGGACATTTTTTTATGATGCGTAACCATGGCAACAAAGCAGTTATCTACCACCAACAGCAGCTGATTAACATCTCAAATACAGCCCCAAATCTCAAATGAGTTGAAAAGGATGTTCTGCGGACGCATTCTCATCTACCTGCCAGCTGTGCTCGAGTGCCTGACCACTGAGATCCCGGAACTAGCAGGAAACACGGCTCATGACAGCAGAAGGACAGGATCGTCCCTCGGCATCTACAGTTGTCTGTCTGCAGCAACGAGGAGCTCGGCAGACTGCTGGGAGGAGTGGCCATCGCACTGGGAGTTCTGCCCTGCATTCGGACGGTCCTACAGCCCGGGGGGAACCGAGAGGCTAGTCGAGTCTGGGTGGACGGATCGGACGGCATCTGCTGCCAGTTTCTTAGGATCCACTGTGGGATGGACCTTTACAAGAGATCCTTCCTGTCTACAGCCATCAGCATCTATAACATCTCTTAATGAAATGAGGATAACGAGTTACAACAACAAATAATTTCCCTTTGGGATTAATAAAGTATTTTTGAATTGAATTGTAAAGAGTGCCTTTTATTTAATATATCATCCAAATGGGTCGCTTTTATTTATTTTTATACAAACGTATTGTTTACTTGGCATATTTTCAAAATGAACATTTTGTAAATCTTTATTTTGGCCTTTTTTTTGTACCAAAAATGAACCGAACCGAAATGTGATTTTAGCGTACCGTTACACCCCGAGTTTATACCGTTTAAAAACAGACTGTTTTACACAATGTGGTGGGTTGCCAGTTGGGCTTGTTTTCATGGAGGTGGTTGCTTGTTTCTATGGCAAGATCTGGCACCATTGACCATGGGGGGGTGGGGGTTGTTTAAGCCAAAGCCAAAGTCGGGAATGGGGGCAAAGCACCCTCTAAAGGTCGGATCCTAGAATCGCCCCTGCTCTCAGCTTCTACCACATCAACATGTGATATTTAATACATGAAAAATGAACCTGAAGCCATTTTTGTGTTTTCTAAAGTTGGTTAAATGTGGCGGTTAAATCTGACTTCAAAAGTTAAACAATCTCAGCCAACATCTGTAAAATTCAGATTTATAGCCACTTTTGTGTTTGCCAAGTTAAGGTGGATGCGGCGGCCATCTTGAATCAGGTTGGCCCTAAAGTGGAGTGCATCCAATGTTTACTTTGTGCCACTTTCATTAAAACCCATCCAGTGGGTCGTGAGATATTTTGCTAACACGGGCAAATCATTACCTATTAAGGAGCGGATATCTTCCACGATGTCTTTCCTCTCCTTCTTCTCGAGGATCGACAGCAACTTTCCCACCGATGCATCAGAGTTCCGAGCGGCCCACTCCTCCAGGACGGCCTTGGTGGGGTTTTTCACCGACTTGTGGTTCTCTATCTCCAGGTAAGAGAAGCCCATTTCCTCGGCCACCTCCATCCAGTCGGCGGCCACCGTGTGTTTGGGGTTCAGGTAGAGCCCCAACTTTTTCCTCACCGTCACATTCAGCGCCACGAGAGGAACCGTCCACAAATCCACGTCCGGCTCGGAGCAGGCCATGTTTGGAAGGAAGAGCGGCGAGAGGACGCGTTAAAACGAGCAAAAAGCGACCATGGTAAACACGAACGTGACGGTGAGCGCTGTTCTGAGAAGAGCCCGCTTTCCGACAGAACCCGGAAGTGGTGCGACCTCGGCTGATTGCGTCACTCAGGGAGGAAGTGGCCTGTTTTTTTTTTTTTTAACGTTGGTCATAGCTGATGCTAAGAGCCGTTAGCACCAGCTAACTTTTTTTTTTTTTTTTTTTTAAACTTTATTTGAAACATCAGTTTACAAACAAAGGAAGTGGCCTGTTTGTTTCTGTTTGAAGAGCATCTGTTTTAACTGAGCAGAAATACAGGGCTGGTCATAAAATTAGAATATCGTGAAAAAGTTCATTTATTTCAGTAATTCCATTCCAAAAGAAATAAAGTAAAAAAAAAATATAATAATCCATTCCAAAAGTGAAACTTGTATATTATAATATCCATTCATTACACACAGACTGATATATTTCAAATATTTATTTATTTTAATGTTGATGATTATAATTGACAACTAATGAAAACCCCAAATTCAGTATCTCAGAAAATTAGAATATTGTTAAAAGGTTCAGTATTGAAGACACTTGGTGTCACACTCTAACCATCTAATTAACTCAAAACACCTGCAAAGGCCTTTAAATTTTAAATGGTCTCTCAATCTAGTTCTGTAGGCTACACAATCATGGGGAAGGACTGCTGACTTGACAATTGTCCAAAAGACAGCCATTGACATCTTGCACAAGGAGGGCAAGATACAGAAAGTCGTTGCTAAAGAGGCTGGCTGTTCACAGAACTCTGTGTCCAAGCACATTAATATAGAGGTGAAGGGAAGGAAACGATGTGGTAGATAAAAAGTGTACAAGCAGTAGGGATAACCGCACCCTGGAGAAGATTGTGAAATAAAACCCATGCCAAAATGTGGGGGAGATACACAAAGAGTGGACTGCAGCTGGAGTCAGTGCTTCAAGAACCACCACGCTCAGACGTATCAGAGTCAGAGTCAGAGTTTTTTTATTGTCATTCGCACCTCATGTGGTACATGTGGTGGAGCGAAATTATGTACACGGGGTCCCAGTTACATCCGACAATAAAATGTATAAGAAAAACAGTAATAACATCTAAGATATGAACTAAGAAAAACATCAACTAAATATACACTAAGCACTCATAACATAAAACATTGAACATCACCACAAACATGAACATGAGTCTGTGAGCAGATGTGCACGCATGAACACATCAACATTGAAACAGATCAGCAGCAACATGAAACAGATCAGCAGCAACATGATATGGTTTTTCACAGTGATTATTCTAGTTAGAGATTCATGAGTCT